GTAGGGAAAAGGGCATTCTGGGATTGCAGCAGTTGCTTTTCAACAACAATGTCCTTTTTGTAAGAATCTGATGCTTCTTAAAAGATGGAACATGACATCATTACTGTCGATCCAAGAAACATTCCTTCAATAATACTGAGTGTGCTCTGGTTATCAGCTCCCTTCCCCCAGCTCCTTTCTCTCGCTTTTCTGACTGATGCTTTTTGTCTATTGTTTTGTCGAGGGCTGTAAATGTGAAACAGTTGTCTTTCAGTGTTGTGTGCTTGTTAGAGCTGGAATCAAGTAGAATATTGTTGGTTTATTTGCAAGAAACAAAGAAAAATAACAACAACAAAAAAAAACCCCAACTTTTCTCTCAGTCTTCATAAATGCAGCATGCTTCAGGTACAGGCTGAATTCAGGCTAATTATTTCCCTTCCCACACGGTATTAGTTACTGCGTTATGCAACAGAAGGTGGAGATATCGCGGTCCCGTTCCTGTGCGTCTCGCTCGGCTCCATTGGCCGCTCGGTGTGTCGTGTGCCGATGCCGTCTGCTTCGAAGGCTCCTGGAATGATCCTGCATTGATCTGAAATGTGCATGTGTAACAGGCTGAATTCAGGCTAATTATTTCCCTTCCCACACGGTATTAGTTACTGCGTTATGCAACAGAAGGTGGAGATATCGCGGTCCCGTTCCTGTGCGTCTCGCTCGGCTCCATTGGCCGCTCGGTGTGTCGTGTGCCGATGCCGTCTGCTTCGAAGGCTCCTGGAATGATCCTGCATTGATCTGAAATGTGCATGTGTATGCTCACAAGTGCAGTGTAGCAGAGTTGTGAACAGCTGCAGATTTTCCTTGTGTGTGTATATATATTTTATTATTATTATTATTTTTTATACATGATCCACCACTAGGATTTAAATATCATTTTTTCCTTAGCCCCTGAGAGTGGGCTGTCATGAAAACACATTTTGAGTTGCATTATGAATCTTTTTGAATGCTGACTGCTTGGAGGAAAGCTATGAAAACTCTGGATTTCGCTTCCCTTCCCTACATTCTCTTTCCCACGTGTCTTCATCAGAAAGACTGGAGACTCTTGCGGACTTTACACCTTGGTACGTCTTGGCTGCGCTCTCCTTGTAACGATGCTGGCAGTTATTTGAACTAACAAGGAGCCGGCAATCCTTGGCACTTCCACGTGTTGCAACTGTCTAGAGAAGAGTACTGCTACACATAAACGTGCAGGAGAATGTCTTTTTCCATCCTTGTAGGAATTGCTCTGCAGGGAGGAGAAAACAAATGATATATTGATCATCTAGAGGCTTGCAGAAAGGTAGAGTTGTAGCGTCCACAAAAGGAGGAAGAATGGACAGGGGTGGTAGAGCCTTCTGATACATTGGTTAAACTCAGGTTTGTTGTCTTTTTTTTTTTCCATTATAAAGATGTAAAATTTTTTTTAAAAAACAAATTTGAGATATGAAATATTAATTAAAAAAGCACAAGTCTCAACCAGACAGGGTTTTTTTGGGAAGACGTGTGCTGTGTGATTAGCTGTTTGCCAGTGACCCAGAGTTGTTTTTATTGGTGACCATTTACAAGGAATTGAGAGGAAATCCTAATCCTAATCCTAAAGGCCCTTCCTTTAGGAGGGGAGAAAAGAAAAGAAAAAAAGTGTATTTTACTTGTAATGGTTGTTTGGCTTCACCTGTGGTGAAGATACAGTAAGATTTTAGCAGAACTGGAAAGTATGCTTTTATTCTGAATAGATTCCAAGACACACTTTGAGTAAATGAAAGCAAACACAAGTGCACAATGGAAGAAGAAAAGGTTTTGTACATTCCCAATGGTGTCTGGAGTTGCAAGTTCCTCTGAAGAAAGTGTTGGGCAGTGGGCTCTTGTAGGAGGCTGTATCACGTGCTATCACAATCAAAATACATGTTTGCATCTGCTGAAGCAGAGTAGAAAGATGTGTTGTGTGTGGATTTGGTTATCTCCATTCTGGATGCTATTTCTCCAGAGAAGGGGCTTGCAAATAAGACTCTGAAGAGCAGGAGCTTTAAGATGGAGATCTTGAATTTAGATAAAAGAAAAAACCAAAAAGGGCCATGACTTATTTAGTTATGGAAGGAGAAGCTTTGGAGTGGTCTCCATGTGCGTGCTGAAATGAATAAAAACTGATCACTGGCCACTTTTTACCTGGAGTACAACTGCAGAAATAAAAAATACTGAACTGAATTTAAAAAATGTAAATACAAATTAAATAGGAGTGGTGGTTCATACACGTCATACTTGTGCCGTATATCTTGTCTTGCAAAGACCATGAGATAGATATATAAATATATGCAATTGTGTCATCCACTTCACAAAGTCCAAACAATGCTTTAAGACACAGCCTGTGTAACTCTTCAGAGGGAGGGTGTCGAGGTAGCATGGACTCACTTGTGCCAAACTGGTGATTGCTGTGGGTCAGAGAGATTCTGTCGACCGCTCTACAGGTGACTGAGCAGACGCTGTGGCAGGGAATGTGCCTCATCTTGTGTTTTGATTTTGGTTTGTGTTCTGTAGACATGCTTGCCTGCTGTCACAGTGGGACTGGGACGTTATCCCAGTGGATAGGTTGTGTTGCTTCACGCGACAAGGCTGCTTGCTCTGGAAGAAGTAGAAGCTGCTCTACTGTAGCTTTGTTTCTAGCTCTTTGAGAAGAGGATAATCAGTGAAGGATTGCAATTTTTTTTCTTGCAGTAATCCATGCTGAAGAGGCTCCATTCATACAGATGAACCAAGGGTTGAGGCAGCACTTTAAACCCAGATAGTCGGTCGGCTAACTGCCCAGCAGGATGCCATCAACAAGCCGAGCGGGCAGCCTGAAGGACCCAGAAATTGCAGAGCTCTTCTTCAAAGAAGATCCAGAAAAGCTCTTCACAGATCTCCGAGAGATTGGCCATGGAAGCTTCGGAGCCGTTTATTTTGTAAGTAGCTCTGTGACTTGGGAATTTTATCTGTGTCTCTTTTTACCTTTAAACTGTGGATGTAGACTTTTTTTTGAACATATTGAGGAAAATAAACCACTGTGAATCTTTTTATCTGCTTTTTGGGGCAGAGGTGTTTTCTTGTGTATCTGTGCAGCCCCAGTCCATTCCCAGACTCTCAGTATCCATAAGGTGTTTGCATACAGACTGCAAAGAAAAAGCTGGAGATGTGGCCCTTGCCTGGTGCTTTTAGGTGCATCGTTTTACTGCAAGCAGGGATTTATCTGCAAATTAAAACATGGACTTCTGCTCCATCAATTCTGACTGGCAATGCAGTTGCCTTGGTCTGATCGTTTCCTTATCATCTCTTGTCCCTTGAGAGAAATTGAGTTCTCTCTCCCTTTGTGCATACCCCTAGGCTCCCTTAAAGCCATTCTTTGTGTTTGACACCTGAATGTTGGTGCTTTTGTTGTCATTTGTCCTGTCACATCCTTCTCTACTGCAGGCAAGAATCCCAGTATTCATTTACATAAAACTTATTTGACATAAACGTCTGGACAGCAGAATTTTTCCCAGGCTGCTTGTATAGCTCAGCCGGCCGTGGGATGTCTCATGGTAACCTCATTTGTGGGTTGCTGTATGTTAACCAAAGTGCATACTGTGAGACCTTCATTAAAAAGCCATTTTCCTCAGAAAACCTTTTCACATTTATAATTATAGGAGGTGTGGCCAAACCTGCCAATTTTCCTTCAGAAAGCCATTTGTGTCAGTATTTTATGAGATGCCTATTCATTGTTAATAATTGCAGCAGACCATGTTGGGAACCTTCCAGCACAAATTTAATGCAGCACAGATGAACTAATTAGGAAGGCTTCTTAATTTTGTTCCCTGCTTAAAACTATGAGCTGCCACTGTCTGGGAACAGGTCTGGAGGAGGAAGTGTTTTCTAACGAAACAGTCCTCACCTGCGGCCTTTACTTCATCTCACTTACTCACTTTAGTTAAAGAGTGGATATAAAAGGAGGGAACTGACAAATCTCTCTTCCTGCTATGTAGAAATATTGAAGTTTTCCAGGAATGCTGTACCTTCTAGAGTCGTCCATGAACTGCAGGGACATGGAAAACCAGTGTACAGCTAGAGGTGACCTGCGAGCTGTACGCTGCCAGCATTCCCAAACATCAGCAGGGAGCTGGCGTTTGTAGACTGCCTGAACTTTGGAGTTGTGGTAAGGGCTGATTGCCCATTACCAAATTAAGAGGTCATTAATTTCTAGGCCCTTCTTTCTCTTTCTTTCCCCCCCCCCCCCCACCATTTTAGACTCCCAGTTCATTATAGGCTGGTATTTATTCACTGATGAGTATGATTACTTGGCGGTGTTTGGATTGTGCTGCTTTGACAGAAAGTATGTCTAATTTGGCACTTGCAGAAAGACTGAGTGTTAAGCAGTGCATCACACTACTCCAACCCATTTGGGGGCTTCATTTTGATCAAGTAAAGAGAGAGTTTCCAACAAAGAAGTTACGCTGTTGCTATTTCTGTGTTACGAGGATTTAACCTCTAATTTTTGGGTTGTATTATGGGATCTTCTTACTAGTAGCAGGTCTAAGGTCTTGAATCTGAAAATGTTTCATGTAATGTACTCGATACCTCAGACAGAAGCCCAAAAGGTGAGAAGGACAACATGGAGGGAGAAATTTGGTGTAAATGAAATAAGCATCAAGGTAGAGGAGTGTATGTCTTGTGTCTTTTATTCCTCTGTAAAGCTAGGGAAAAAAACTCCTTGTAAGTTTCTGTAAGAAGATTTTGATTCTGTTAATGCAAACAATTAAACTTTCTCCAATCAATGTAATATTGGCTTGTAGTTAATTACTACTTAAAAGCATATTACCAAAGCCAATGGCATACTCCACCTTTTCTTTGTTCGTGCTTTGCTTGTATCCCTGCTGAAGTTACTCTGGTCGCCAGATGTTGATCCTTTGCATGGAGTTTTCAGAGGAAAGCAGGATATATGTGCACTAATGTCTGCCATAAAACAAGCCTCATTCGTTTGGATTGTTTAAGGTAGCTGGCCTTGTAACATCTTCATGGCTTTTGTCTAGGAACCATCTTTTTTCAGTTATTCAAGATCACGAGGAAAGGAAAAAAGCAATTGAAACTCTGTGATTTTCCCATTCACGGGATGTCAGCTGTGATGGTTCTCTCTGTCTCAGCCCCACTGTAGCAGGGAAGGACTGGAGGTGTTAGGCAAATACAATCAGGAGTTGCTTGGTTGGGTTTTCTAATTCATAGCACCCTCCCCACCAGTCTACTTTCATTGCATAAAGCCTGGACCAAAAATGTTGATGATAAATAGGTGTGGGAGTAATTAACAAGTAGAAAAAGCCATATAATCCTGAAATCTCCTGCTGCCTTTTTTTAAATGCAGTTTAGTCCCTCGTCGTTAGTTCGCTTTCCTTTTAGCAGTGATCCCAAGAAGGGGTGATTTATTTATCTTGCCGAAGAGTATTCACTCTTGTCTCTTTCTTTGTTTCTTTTACATCCTGCAGTGGCAGAAAGTTTCTTCTTTTTTCTTTTTTTAAATTTCATAATTGACATGAATTTTGCTGGTTCAACTCATGGTTTTAGTTTCTTAGAAACTGCAAGTCTGGCACCTCTGAATCATTTTGGTATTATCCTTACCCTACTCCCTGCTCTGCAGTGTAATAATAGCTTTTGCTTGACACAGGAAACCTACTACACTGGAACACTGCAGATGGAGCAGAAGAATAACCCACTCTCTTTTGTTAGAGCTCTGCTCCTTCTGCTCTACTCTAGTATTTTGCTCGCCTGTTTTATTGTGGTTCTTTGCTGATTTGAATGTTTCAGAGATTGTCTCTAATTAGTAAAGATCTAGGAGTCAGAATTTTATTCTTCCTTTTTTTTTTTTTCTCCTCAAAAAACCCAAAAATAGTCACCCCCCACAACTGTAGAGGTACTGTAATATCAGTGAGACAGTAGGAAGGATCCTCTCAAAGAGAAAAAAAACCTAAAAATAGTATTGGTTCTTGCTTATCAGAACCTGTTGAAATAAAGACTGACAGGGAATTCTGGGAATCTCTTTTTAATGAACAGCAGAATTAAAACATGACTGAAAAAACAGTTTACAGAAGGCAACATCCCAACACTTCGTGTTCTGATAGGCTGTGCTTGATAGTACAAATATATTAAAAATCAGCATTTTCATCAGTGAATGCTGTGGTGCACATTAGTTTGATATATATCCTTTGGCTTCGTATCCAAGTTGATTATGCTTATCAGAGAGACTCAGAGGTGATTTCCTCCACCGTCCCCCTGTGCCAGTGCAATCCTTAACAGAGGAGAGGCAGGGGTCTTGTCTGGAGCCATCCTTCCTGCAGGGTGGAGCAGCTCTGCCTCTTCTCCTGCCAGTGTGAAAGAGACATTGCTCTGGTACTAAATTAAACAAAACTTCTCGTCTAGTCTGATCTTGGATTGTTGCTGTCTGAAGTCAAGAAGTCTGTGAAGTGTGAAAAACCACGTACATTTATTGTGCAGTGTAAATAATATTATTATTGCACTTGAGAAAGTGAAAGTCTGAATGGGAGTCTGAAGATGGGTCCTTTAGGTCACTGCCATCTCTCTATATCATCTGCCTTCCTTTAAGACACAACAGGTGATTTGTAGGAGCACTGGGGAGAAAGCCACCAGTGTCTGGAGAAGGTCTCTCCAGCGCATCCTGTGACATCTCTGCTTATGTTTGGAATGGAAGAAGGGGGTTGAGCCTTGCTTCTCTTTGGTCTGGGATGGACCTGGGTGGGGAGAGAAGTTGATTTAGAGAAAATCTGTTCTGCTTGAACCAGAGCTGCTTTTGTAAGCTATGATTTTTAGTTCAGAAGTGACAATATTTGACTCCTGAAAAGACTTGCTGAGCGCTGAGCAGGGAAAACTGTCATACCTTGTCTCACAAACATGAGGGTGATCTTTAACATCAGAAGGAAATTTCTAATAGATGCAGCAGTCACACCCCTTGGAAGATATTGTAGTTTAACTCTCTGTAAGAGTTAACTAATGGATAAAGATTTTTTTTTTTTTAATGAGTACATTTGGTTTGCATCTTATGGGAAATCATGACCTGAAGAAACTGATACATCATGTTTTCATGTTACAGGCACGTGATGTGCGCACCAATGAAGTGGTGGCCATCAAGAAAATGTCATATAGTGGGAAGCAGTCCAATGAGGTATGTAGAACACGCAAATTTAATCTTTACCATTGAAAATACTTATTATATGGGATGATTTTAACTATCCTGGGCTCCAGCAAGGGAGATCTTTCCTATAACTGTAAAGATGAATGAGGGTACTGTGTAAACACAACAAATTAGTTTACTGTTCACAGTGTATTTCTGCCTAATCTGCTCCTGAAAATGATAGGTAGGACTCATTGCTTCCAGACACAAAGGGTCCACATAAATGTGTAGAAAACAAAAAAGAAAATTAAAAATTACAGTTTTGCATGTTAATGTGTCTTGTTGCCCTTAAATGTTCCATTTTAAATACCTTTTAAAATAACCATGTTGCTTACTGGACAAAGGAATGATAGCAATGGCTGCAGTAGAGATTCAAAGGGAATCTAGTGTCCTTCCCTAGAATGACTGTGCTGATGAGGAGCTAAAACAAAAGCAAACCAGCAGTGAATGAATGAGTGTGAAAATCTGAACAGCAGCATAATTAGGGAAGAGCTGCCAGAGCTCGGGATTAAGGCAGTCTTTGCAGAGAGGTCTGTAAAAGTAGGCCTCTGAGATTTAAACATTAAGTGTTTCGTGGCCCCCCTACATGTGCATTTTTTCCCTACGACGCTTAACAGAGATAATTGATTTTTATACTTGAAACCTTTAAGTGCTAATACAGATTCTTGAAAAGCCCAACATGACAGGAACAGCTGATTTGATATTATTTCTGGTAGACAACATCTATCAAATCATGGCATGGTTTTTCAACAAAAGTGTTTATTGTAAGCATATTGTTCAAGGCATTTATGGTTCCCTCCCTCTGTTCTCTATATTCCAGTCTTAGGAGCAGTCTTGCTCCGATGAGTTTGACTAACAACTCGTTGCTTTCTGTGCTGGCCTTTTGTGTATTGATCATCTGCACTACATGGAGCTGAACTATTCCTTCCTTTCTGTGTGTGTGTATGTATCTGTGTAGGAGGTAGAGGTGACAGTGTCTCTCCAGCAGTCCTGAATTCTAGCTTCACAGTTAAATTTGCTATGTGTGTTTCTATTTTGTCACTGCGGTGACTTGTTTAACTGTGTACTGATGAAAGAATAATTTGTACTTACTACTTGTCCCACTGTTTTAATTACTGTGAGCTATAAATACTCTATTCACATGAATGAAACAAACTGTGCAAGCTTCAGAAATAGCTTTTGTTTGTCCTCAGTGCGTATGTTTCTTTATTTTGAAGAAAGTAATAAGACCAGGATTAAAACACTTTCTATTTTATTTCTATATTTATTTGTTTTGTTCAGAAGTTTGCTAGAGTTGTGATCTAACCTATGTAAAGAAAATTGATTGAGGGTGTTCTGGTATAGTTTATATTTACTTTGGTTTCAAGATTTTATCATTGGTGGAAACAATTATTCTTTTAAAATAAGGACATATTTTATACTAAAAACAAGTTAAAAGCCTTTGAAAAATGTAGTACTGTGCTCTTAGTGTGATCTTGGAGCTTTTTCTTATGCAGGAAATCTTGAATACGTCTTAACTAATATATCACCTCTCTCTTCCCAATGTGGAAGTTTAGCATGGTGCTTTCTGGATTGGCTTTTATTGCTTAGAACCTCAAAGCCTTTGAGGCTAAAGGTAAAAGGTGACTAAATTATTCTTGTACTGGAACAAGGATGTCAGTGAGAGAGTTTATCTTAGTACAGCTGCACTAATGTCATTTTCATGAAGTCTCTGGTGTTGAGAAGTGCTTAGTCAATAAGCTGCCTGGTCGTGGCTGCCATGTTCCCTGGTTTCATTTACTTTTTGAACCATAACATTTTTATTGAAGAGGATTTGGGTTTTGTGCATGTTTTCCAAAGCATTTGGGTATATGGGACCTCTGTCCATCTGTGAATCCTAGCTGCATACAGACACCTGAGGAAGTGTGTGCTGAGAGATTAACAGGACCTGGAAAACAGCTTTTGAACCTTTTGATGTTGGGTGAGGTTTCTGTACTTCTGATTAACTTCAGAACTGATAGTCTTTCTCAAAAACATTTTCAGTGTCAACACTCTTGTGTTGATGTTTGCATACTTAAATGGTTTCAACTACTGAGTTTGTTTTTGAAAAATCTTTTTCAGTAGTTGTAGTTTTGTTGTTGCACTTCCAAGCTTTTGCCTTTCTTGCTGGAGGAGGTGTGGAGCAAATGGGAGGACTTGGTGATTTCCTCTGACTGGAGTAACAGCAGTGTCTAGGCACACACTACAACATGACATTTTGGCCTCTTTTGTACTTTAAAGCTGCACTGGCAGAGCCCCCTTATTATAAACCTGGATTTTGTTTTATCTGTTTATTCTTTTATTCATGCAGAATGATTCCGTTACCTGGTAGGTAACTCACTTTAAATCGGTCCTTGTAAAGACTAAACTGGTAATGGAGAAACATTACCAAGGATGTAGTTAGATATTTGTGAGCTGATAAATGGAGCCTCATCCAGTGTCATATAGTTACTAGTAGGGATAGATCTTTATATCTACAAGAGTTAAGTGAGAGACAGCTGATCCCACTGAAGGACACTTGTCATCCACATCTCTTTCAAGTTGGGATTATGTTTGATTTGACAACAGAAACGGTATCCCTTAAAAAAGGTTTGCTTCTTTTTTGAGGACTTGCTCAGATGTTAAGTGTTTACCAGTATATCCTATGCATACATATAAATGTGAAGTATTACATTGATGAGAGATCCTTACATACAGGCTAATTGATCAACAACTTATTTTGTAGATCTGTTGAGGAGATAAACAATGAACATCATGGTGGTGGTGTAAATTTGTTTTGATTTGGAACCTTAAGATGGTTTTACCTCTTAAAATAATTAAATGATATGCTAACTTAGCAACAATTGAAAAAAAAAAAGGTAACAGTTTTGTGAAGTCTTTCTATTCCTTTTATTTTCTGCAGAAATGGCAGGATATTATTAAGGAAGTCAAGTTCCTCCAAAGAATAAAACACCCTAACAGTATAGAATACAAAGGCTGCTATTTGCGGGAGCATACAGCATGGGTAAGCATCTGCTGCACTCTGCACTTCTCTTGCCTTGGTTCAGGGTGCTTTAAAATATCTCCAGCTGCCTTGCAAGAGGCACCTGAACACTTGCATTGCACAGACACAGATGAGAATTGCCAAGGACCTTACAGGTGCTCAGCAAAACTGAATGTAGTTTTTGGAAACAAGATTTAGGGAAATTTTCCCTTTTACTTGCACAGTAAGGTGATTGTGCTGCTGTTTTAGTGCATTCAGCTTGATGGACTGAGTAATTGAAATAAATAATAAGGGGGAGGCAACAAATTTATCTGTCACTTTTCTTACTGTAAGGAAAGGTGAAAATTTTACTCGTACTGCCTGGGAGGTAAGTATGGCAACTTTATTAGATACTTGCAGGTTGTTTAACAATGCATTTGCTATGCCACTGAGTATTAATGGTTCAGTACTTTACAGGTTGACTAAATATGTTCCAGAAGTAAGTGCTCAGTTGCACTTTAATGGAATATGTTAGAATTATCCTACTGATAATTGTAATTGAAAGTACATTTTGAGTCATTAGTATTTCTATCATTTAACTAAATTATTCTGTTGTGTATTGTTTACTTCTGGTGTTCCAGTGACAAAAGCAACTAGCTGGTTTTATCTCTGGCTGTCATCTCCTAATTAATTTCATATATTTGATTTAAACAAACAAAAACATACTTGATTTAAACAAACAAAACCCACCAAACCCCTCAAACTAAACTTGGGTTATTTGGGTTTATGTGCATAAAAACATGGGTGTAGGAATAGATGTGATTGGCTATGCAGAGGAAGCATTTTGTTAAACTAAAAGTGTCATATACACCTCTCACTGACAAAATTTTTGTAGTACAATGTACTAAAGAAATCATCTTGTTGAACTAATAGTTTAAATTACTGTTCAGGTATTAACTTCAGTAAATCTGTAGGACAGAGTTTTAGTTTCTTTGAAATCTCCCTGGGACAAAATCTTAAGTAAATCCCTAAATAGTCCTTTAATACTTTGATAAGCTTGTTAAGTGCAATGTAACATTCCTGTTAGGTACGTGTGTATAAAATGTGATCTGTAATACAATAAATAACTGGTTATGAATATGCTTTTGCCTTCCTTACAAGTTTTGTTGTTCAGTACCTTACCCAGGAAGGCCATGCTAATCCAGTTAGAGCTGCCCTCGTGAGAGGGGTCAGGGTGACAGTGCTAGGATGGGGCTTATGTTGCAGGCAATCCTTGTTTGGTTAAGGCAGTCTGCATTGTATGCACCAGAGATTATTTCTAGATTTCTTCATAGAAGTCTAGAAAACATACATTTACTATTAGAGATTTTCTAACAGCTATTTTGATTTCTTTCCATACAGCTTGTTATGGAATATTGTTTAGGATCAGCATCAGACTTACTAGAAGGTATGTCACGCATGTTTATTTGATTGAAAGTCAGAAGTATAGTACTGAAGTAGGAGGTTACAGCATCACAGAATTGTCCTTGAGTATATGGTTTTATTTGGGGGCAGAGTGTGTGTGAGCAGGTGCAGTTTTTCAAATTCTTGCATGGCTATCATGTTTTTTTCTGTAGAATATCAGCTTTCCTGAGTGCTTGGTTTTTTCTTGATTCACATTATTTTAAAGTTGTCAGTCAGCTGTTTATTTTCTTCTGAGTTCTAGGTTCTCCTCTCATGACAGTTCAAGATTTATTTCTGAAAACTTTTGCTGTTGATCCTAATGCTTACTAACAACTGTAGGCCTGTTGACTAAAATAGCACTGCAGCAGTATTGGGGTTTTGTTTGTTGAGGTCTTTTGTTAAGTGGTCGGTTTTCTATCAGGCTTCTGGAAGTGAACTTTCTTTGAAGATAGATGTGTGGCCAGTAAGTTGTTCACCTCCTTTCCTTGCCAGAAGCGTTTCAGGACAAAAAGCTGAGCTGCCAGAGAGTCATGTATATTGCTACAGCTTATTCATGTGTGAATTGTAAAGTTCTAGGGTTTGGGATTTAGCTTCATGAATGGAAAATTAAATGTTGAGCCTCAAATAGGTACTTGGGAGAATGGTCACAGAACTGACAGGAATGTAGCTCATGGTTGCAGAGTCTCTTTTTGATAGTAAATAGCTGCTGTTTTACAGTTAGAGGATTACATCTGATTATAGATCGTACACTGTGAACTGTTTTTACATTTGGTTCTCATATTGAACCTAGTAAAAACAAACTTCTAGTTTTTTCTCTCTGTTTACTTTGTTAACAGTACTCACTTGCATGCTGCAGACTGCATTGTTTTAATATTGACTTTCAAATGAATTCTTTCCTTAAGTTCATAAAAAGCCGTTGCAAGAAGTGGAAATAGCAGCAATTACCCATGGTGCTCTCCAGGGATTAGCTTATTTGCATTCTCACAATATGATCCATAGGTAAGTGGTTGTACTTTTGCTGTCTCACACACTTACAGGTAATTTATTTTGTTGATTGTATCCCCTTCATCCCAAATTTAATATTTGTAAGCAGAGATTTTCTTTTCACAGTGTATACTCCTAAACTAGTGATTTATAGTAATCAAGTACTAGCAAGTTCTGTATCTCCATGTGCACTGTCTCTTACAGCTGGTGGTCATACTTTCTGCAGAATTACTTTGAATCTGCTAAGCTTTTCAATACTTGGTATAAAGCTGATTGTTCCCTGAAACAGTGAATAGTGAGGCAGGCTGAGCTCACCTCAATAGCTTGTAGCAGCTTCAAGGCAAAGATTGCTGGGGTAGGGGGAGTGCTAATACTTGAAAAATCAGTTTTACTTGAACACATGTTAAGAAGCACACAGCAAGTCTGGGATGCAAATGTTCTTTGTGTTGAAAGTACCTGCTTGCATTTTAGTAGGATGAAGGATTTCAATAGTGACATTATTAGGGCTTTCTGAAAAACATTTATAAAGGACATAGTTGGTTCAGAAGGTTTTACTGAACTGTATAGGAAGCTTATCCAGATGTGCCACTTCAAGTTGATTTTAAAGACAAACCAGATTCTAAGATCAAGGGCTATGTTAAGCTATTAACCTAAAAGTTAAAGATTTTGTATTTGGAGGAAATGAGGGTATTCTGCAGCTTGAACATGTGAATGCTGGTATGTTTTCTAGTCAGTCCTATAGATTTTCTTTTTTAGAGGGGAATAATACTGACATTTGTATTCTATAACCAGAGATATCAAGGCAGGAAACATCCTGCTGACAGAGCCAGGACAGGTGAAACTTGCTGACTTTGGGTCTGCTTCCATAGCATCTCCTGCCAACTCATTTGTGGGGACGCCATATTGGTAAGCCAAGAGTTTTATACATTTCTGGCTTTGTGAAGTCAAAGAATCATTTATTGGGTATTTAATATACTTGGGCTTTACTGGAGCTAGCTTTCTAATCTTCCTTTTGTGGTAGTGATAAAATGTACTTTGGGGGAAAAAAAAATAGTAATTAGGCTCTGACTTCAAGAAATTGTGAATCCTTCTATTTGTAGTTCACAAAAAGTAAGAAAAATATTTTGTTGTTCTACTTACCCTGACTTTAAATGGTAGAGGTGGGATTGAATCATCTGCAATATATTTTAATCACTCCCCTCAGTGGTTTTAACAATTCTTATGTTCTCCCTGCGTCTGGTTGTTGAAATAACCGAAGTGTTTTTTCTTTCATAGGAAAGGCCAGGTTCATTGAACAAAACCCTTTGCAGATCCCTTGTATGCTTTTGATCTCTTACACCTAATCTGTGGTGTTTACACAACTGCATGCTATAATTATTTCACCAGAGTTGGCCAGCCAGCTGAACTATTGGAAATGTGGGAGGGCGAGAAGGTGGTGATACATATAAACAGAGAGCTGTGCAAAAGCACAGGAGAACATCACACATAGGCTCATGCTAGTGTGGATGCCTGGTCGGTGTTCCCAGTATCCCATGTTCATGCCTGATACCTTGGGCAGTGATTTGGTTATGATAGCTGAAATCAGTGAAACAACCTGTTTCATTGCAATACTCATGATGAGAACGTGTTCCATTGCCCAGAATTTTATGAGCACCCGTTTCCTTTTTTTAGGATGGCCCCAGAAGTGATTTTAGCCATGGATGAAGGGCAGTATGATGGCAAAGTAGATGTTTGGTCTCTTGGAATTACCTGTATTGAGTTAGGTAAGTTATTTTCTCTGAAAAATTATAAAATTGAGTTATTTAATACCAGGAACTTACTCAGCTGAATTACAGTGCAGAAGATCTATGCCTCCTTCCTTGTCCTGGTTTCTCTGGGACTTAAATTTTAGAGAAAAGAGCTAAATGTGCTCCTAGAATTCAAGACCAACTCTCCAATTTGATGTTTATTGAACTGGTGTTTTCATTACCCCAAGAAATAGGGTTATATAGACAAAGAAAATAGCCAAGCTATATCACTGAAGGTGTTCACATTCTGTGGGAGAGGCAGTTAACTTCTGAACTGGAAAACAGTCTGCTTGTTGAACAGCTCTAGAAGTGAACCATTAAAAGTGCCAGTCTGAAAGTATATTTAATGGTATAAATTGATATTGTTTTCATGAAAATGTAAGATACATTAACAAGTTCTTGCAAAAATGATGTTTGAGATAAGTGGACAGCTTCAAAGCTGTATTCAGTGTATGTGGTCAGTAGTGAATAGATTTGGCTGGAAAATCTCTTAAAAAAAAAAAAAAAAGGTATGAAATAATCCAGTTTTGAAGTAGAAACTATAAGGCAAAAGCAAAAGAAATTATGGCATTGCTATTAGAACAGATTCCTTAAAGCAGAACATCAATTTAAAAGGATTGTGTTAGAGTGGCATTCCAGTTAAATTTAACATACAGTATTTTCTTGAAACAAAAATACACTCACTGAAGCACACCACCATGCATGGCACTACTCAGCTTTCAGCCAGGATCCAGCTCTGTAGAAGCACTTGCCTATAAGTTTTTCTTGGGATGGTGAGGTTAGGTGCTGCTCGTTGCACCTGAGGCTGTCCTCACATCCCTGTCAGATCTCATTGCTCGTACTCCAAACCCACCTCGGTGAAGGATCAGCCTGGCTGGGCAGCGAGAGCTCTCAGGACCACGCTAATCCATGTGAACTGTGCTGTTTAGCTAAAAATGCTGTCTGGCATTCCAAACTGTCAACTTCATTTTCTTCCAGGACATGAAATAGATTCTTTCTTCAGAGCAGTTTGGGTTTTTTTGTGGCTGGGTTTTTTTTTTTTGTTGTTGTTGTTGGTTGGTTGGTTGTTGGTAGGGTTTTTTTTTGGTTGCCAATATAAAGCAAGTTGAAGGGGTGTGACTGTCATGACAGAATCCTGCTCCGAGTGGAGTAAGGAGA